CGTCAATGCTTCCGGTTCGATTTTAGCCTGACTGCAGCCCATAATATTTGTATTTTAATGATTATTTTCTGTTTCTGTCTGTCTGTTTACAACTTCACAGTTGTCGTTGAATGAGAATAACGAAAAAGAAGAAGAAACATATTGTCCAATTGACATTCATCCGTAGTTGTATAAAGAGTCCACGCTGGCTTAGAAAGAGAAATTTGGTACGAGTTTTTGTAGGAAAAGTAAAGTAGAGGCAAATAGGAATCGTGAATGTCAGAAGGACTAGTAGCAGTAGCAGTAGTGGTGCGACTATAGCGTCGAGAACAATGAAAACGACGAGTAGACGACAGCACTAACGTCGACGATCGGAGAAGCGTCGGGTCCGAACGAGACAAAGCGATGATGATTAAACGACGGAACCAGCGACAGTGATGGCGGCGAATCGCTCTTGCTGTTACTCCTATTGTTGTTGTTTGTTGTCATCCTCCTATAGTAGTAGTGGTGCACCACATCAAAAAGAAAGAGAGTGAGTGTGTGAGAAAAAGGCTCGGTATGTCAACGAAAGAAGAGAGACAGCTTGTAGTCTCTTCAAATCATAAGTAATGCGAGCAGCAATAAAGTACAAAACCTAAGTTCCTGTCCACATGCGCACACATACTCACACAAACATCATAATTATTCCTCTTTATCATTATGATGATGACTGTCATTTAGCAGCAATACAAATAAAAACTCACAAACAGTCGGAGCACATCCTCTATATGTATTTGCAGAATAAAGAACGTTGAAAAATTAGTGCATTACTAGATATTTCTTTTTTCTATCTGCCTATATATCTATTTGACACAGACATGGTTTTGCATATGTCTCATAGAAAAATTTAAAAGCAATTTTCATTAAGATACAATGATATACAGAATCGTAAGCAAGATTGAACTTATCATTGATGTCTAGTAGAAAAAAAAACTACTTCATTGTTTATCAAAATAAGAAAACGAGAAAAAAATTAAGATGAAAGCAAAAGCTGATAGATGACTAGTGAGACTGAAAATCAGCTGTGTAAATGGTTTTTGTAATTTGTCGTTATGTTCAATATTTATTCACTATCTTTGTTTTCTCAATAGGAAAAGTCTCTGAAGGAAACTATAATCTTTCGAAAAAAATGTAGCTAATCAAAAACTAAGAAAAATTAGTCGATTAATAATAACAATAACAATAATGATACGCTATTAAAGTTGAGTATATCTAATATTTATCGATTCTTTCCGTTCTCAAATAAAAACAAAAGATATTTACTAATTGAGATGAACGGTGAAAGAGTACAACAAATAGATATTAAAGAAAAAGAGTAAATAGAAAAAAAGAAGTACTCAATTATCGGATTCAGAGAAGAAAAAAAAAGAAAATTCATACAAAATGCATTTTTTGGATAGTTCGATCATGTTCGAATAACTGACAGAAGCTCATTTGTTTGAGAGTCTACTTGACATACTCTCCGGTTTTTTTCCTTATTTTTTTTCTTTTCTATAACAGAATAACTAAGCTTATTGTTGTTAACCGTACCAATGCTGTGATTCTAGTCAACTTTTTTATGATACTTACAAAAGGTGTGCGTGTGAATAAAATCTAGTGAAACATAGAGGACTTTTTGCCATAATTCTATATTCTTTTTTCTCCTTTCTTAGTCTTCTTTTTTTATAGCGTTTCTTCTTTTCTCGTTTCCTTTTTCATGACTGTCTTTGCGCTTCTAGCGCCGGCTCACTCTATTTAATAAGACATTTGTTCGCATGAGCCTGCTTGACTGTTTTGCACAGTTCGCATTTTCTCTCCCCCCCCCCCCCCCCCCCCCCCCCCCCCCCCCCCCCCCCCCCCCCCTCTGTTCCCCCCTCCTCCCCCCTCCTTCCCCTTCCCTCCGTCCCTCTTTCCCTCCCCTGCT